GAACTTATTGAGATGAACTTATTGCACATATTAAACCTGGAACTAACAAAGCTTAAATGATTGCCTATAAAACAACATTAAACATTAAATAATCAGTAGCATTCATTTCTTATGGCTCTATCTGCAGCTTATGATTACATTTTTCCACAGGCCAACAACAGCTTCAAAAAAACGATTTCCCTCAAAGAAAAAACCAAACATGCCCTGTTGTTGCAAGAAAGAAAGTGCAAGAGGAACCATCCATTTAAACTCAGTGTGCTGCTCTGTGATGCACACTAAGCCAGATACTTGGCATCTCATCTTGAGTGCAAGTTCATCAATGTTTGGGGTCAGGTTCTGAGCTGAGGAGATCCTCAGGATTGAGTGAACGTGCAATATACTGAGTTTGACATGTGTGGTTTAGAGACTTCACAGGCTGTAATGCTGATAGGGCAAAAAATTACACTGGCCTTTGTAGATGACAGCCACTCCTCACACTCCTCACAGTGGATAACAGGAACATCGTAAAATCATACATTACACCAGAATAGACTTACACCATCTCTGTACCAACGTTACTCTGTAAAAGATTAAATTCCCCTCTCTTGTAGCTGCAGAAAAACACCCTTGTGAATACCAATATTGCTCCAGTAAGTGGGAAACAAGTGTTTATATGTGTGCGATTTGAGGGTAGTAACACTAAAGTATAATGTCTCTAAATGTTTCTTTTGGTTGCTTGCCTAATGAATAAGAAGAAATTGTCAGCAGAAGAGTTAATCCTTTCACGTCGCCTCTGCACATCTCATCCCTCCAATTATTTTCTCACGACTGATCTTGGTCAGAGGATTTCATATATACGAGATCAGTAATAGGAAAGGACACTGACATGCCTCCCCACACATGAGTCGATGTGCAGTGATTAATGTTAAAGTGTGACCTAGGCCTACTATTACTGACCTGTAGATTTGAGGGCTGCAAAGTAGAGCCTGTCAGATTGCTGCTGGAACACTGAAGAAGCTGTAATGAGGCCTGTGAGGGATGCCAAGTGGTTGGAAACGGAAGCATACCTGCAGCTGGCTGAGGCACGGCAGCCTGGCAAGCAGATTTAAGAATGAATGCCTCTTTAAAAGCAACAAAAATGTGATTTAAAGTTAATCTAAATTGGATTTTGTATGCCAGCATTTATTTTTAACACATATATATATTTCTAATAGATTATAAAAATTGTTTTATTTTGCAATCAAAGTACTCTAATGTCTGATAACTTTAAAATGAATCTCCCCGTGGTCTCTCTTTCAGACCGAGAATCACGAGCCAGTGTATGCTTTGTAACTTGTAGATATTAGATTATGGCTTTTTCAAATAGCACTCACAATTAGCACAAATAGACTAAATTCAAAATTATTTTTTTACAATCTTTAGTATATTGGTTTTGCTTTCTTAAAAGAGGTAATCATGAATCTGCAGGGCTCTCACACAGACAGCAGACTTCTGAACAAAAACATCTGAAAGTGTGAGCACTACAAACTTCTTTGATTATGTTGATTCAACTCAGTCAATTTGAGGGTTGTTTTTGTCTAATATACTTCTAATATTTAGTCTACACCTTTTGATACAAATAGCATGAAGTGACCCAAAATCAAACAAAAGTCTACCATTTGTTTAATGGCAGGAACAATTACTTTTGAATGACCACGTGACATAAGATCAGGCATAATATTTATTATAGGGGATAGTTAAATGATTTTAAACGTCCTGGAAAAAACCCTGATATATTGATGAGAGAAAACGTGTGTGGTTGAGTGGCAGTATATGACTTCAATAAAGCTTGATGTGCTTCATGGAGTGGTAGCAGGGCTGTGTGATTCAACATAAACATTATCTCACTTATTTCCTTTCCCAAATGTATCAGAATACCTTTATTAGTCGCACAGAGGGGAAATGTGCATCGTTACAGCAGGAAAGAGCCACAGACAGCTTAATGTTACATAATTTAAAAAAAGTACTAAGTTATGATATAATAAAAAAATATAATAAAAAAATAAAAGTAAAGAAAAAATACTTTTCAAAATACAAATCCTGTACCAGTTCTTATGATTTAGCAGCCAGGTATATATATTACACAGTTATTAATGGCATATGTATATAATAATGTAATATTGCACATATAGCACATAGTTTGATGGTATTTAACAGCAGCAAGTTACACAATTTACAAAATACAAAATGCAAAAATCACACCTTGTAATGGTTCTAAGGATTTAGTAGCCAGTTATAAACTACAGTTATTAACGGCATATATATATATATTTGTTACGTCCCCCTCTAAGGGTAGAGGGAAACAACACACACCAGTTGGAATTGGTATAATTATATATATTATATCGTTTATTTTATATAGCAGAGTAAACAAAGTGGCAGGCATGCAGCCTGGAACAAACAAAAAGGGCCAAAAGGGCACAGGTTAATAAATAACCAACAAAAGGAGGACTCTAAAAAGGAATTTAGTTGCATACAATGGAATAAACACTATTACACTAAATAAGAAATGAAACAAAACCTCACTTTAAAAGTGGTACAACTAACAAAAAGAGTGTGCAAAAACACAGCTAAACTAAAGGCAACAGTCACAAAATCCTAAACTACTCTAAACACTAACTAAACTACTCTAGACACTACTAATATCACAAGAATCAAACACAATCTATAGGACATCATTCTCTAAGGACCAAGTAGCGAGAGGCGTCTGTCCACATGTCAGAGCCTCCAGAGTGATAATTGTCCCCAGGCTTTGTAGTCATCTCCAGCAGGTGTGCGCCGGCTGTGCGCTGCGATTGGAGTTCGTCGGCCCGGCGTGCTCCAATCACAATCTTCAGGAGGTGGACCAGGAGATGGCAGCCAATCACATCAGGGCAACCGCACAGCTAATTTACATACAACACAGGTTAACACAGTTAAGACGACAAGGAAGGCGACAGTCGTAACAATAGTTGCACATAGTTGATTGGTATGTAGCAGCAGGATTTAAATACTGGGTCATTCAGCACAAAGGCAGCTCAAAAAAGCTTTTGTCTGCACATCCAGTGTTTCCTTTTTGGTTAACCATTTGTATCCGATTATAAAACTGCATTTGTTAAGTACAATGGATAAATACTAGGGGTGCACTGAATGGGAAATTCTTGTCCGAAACCGATACTGAAAATAGGAAACAGTTGGCCGAAAACCGAATGCCGAAAATGATTATTATTATTATAAGTACAAAATTGGTAAAACATGTATACATTCTATTAATCACTATTATGGGTCCATAAAACATTTATTCAGCACTTTTGAATGCATACAGTACATTAATTCCAAGTCAAGTGCATTTTCTTTTCTCTGTAGGATAACTACAACAAAGTGCATTCAGAACAAAGCCAAGGGGCTTTAAAACTGCATAAACATCTAGGCCAGTAGGCCTACAACACAATAGTGTAAATAAAGACTGTAACAGCCAGGCCTTCAACAACAACAAATGCACCTATAAGTGCATGCATACAAATGTGCAAACTGGATAAATCCACATGAATGTAACTATAGTATTTACAAATGAAATTACAATTGAATTTCAAGAATCTGTAAATAAGGCTGTCTGTCCTCATAAGCAATGTAAACAACATTGTATCATTTAGATACCGAAAGTACAATATATTGAACACTGTGCTGCTGTCATTTCCCCCTAATGATAACCTGAGATGGTGAATTATAACTCACAATGAAAATTGTTCAGGAAAGTGGGTATAGAGTAGACATGTAGAAATAGATAAGCTTATGATAAGCCAGCCTTGTCTACTTATTAAGGAAAAGTGGGAGGTTATTTTTAATGAACAGTAGCTTCTCTGCTTTATCAGCCATAAGCAGGGTTGGGTTGTAACGGAATACATGTAACGGCGTTACGTAATCAGAATACACAAATCAAGTAACTGTATTCAGCTCGCGTTACATTTGAAAAACGAGTAATCTGATTACAGTTACTTTCGTAAACCTGAAGTGAATACATTTTGGATTACTTATTGGAATTATTGGTGGAAAGATTTCCTCTCAACATTTAATATTCATAGTAGGTACAGCCGAATCATCACAGCCCACAAAAACTATTACCGCCGCAGATGGACCAAAAAAGCGTTTGAAAAAAAATCGCGGGTCCGCTCGCTCAGTGAAACAATAACAATGAAACATGGAGGAACACAAGTCTGCGTTTAAATCGCGTGTGTGTGTATATATAGGTGTGTGTGGTTAAAACACATCAGCCTGCGGTCGCTCTTTAGCCTTACTAATGATTATTTCTGAAGGTAAACACAGTGAAGGCGGTGCGTGAAAGGCACTGAGCGGCGCGCTCGTCTTCTCAGAGGCTGAGTTAACCCTCCCGCTGCCTCCTGGTGCTGCAGAGATTTCATGAAGTGAAGGAGGTTTTCCTTCTATAAAACAGCTGTGGGCAGCAGATACTGTGAGAGTCACAGACATGAATACATAGATCAAGGCAGACTGGTGCACACACTCTCCTGTTTTGCCAATCCGGTGCTTAAACAAATATAGCTCCACACCCCTGGCCGACATGTCCTTAAAATGAAGTCCGAGTTCGACATTTTAATTCATGTCCTGCCAACACTGGCAGGACAGAAGGTGACACGCTCGTTCTAAGCCGTGTCCCTCACTCCTCACATCACAAGCTGCATCCCCAAAAAGTGTATTAAGTTGTTACATCGTTTCAGATGTGAAGTTTCAGTTGTGCTCTTGATAAGCCATTAAAACAGTAAAAACACGTTCAGTTTCCTTTTGCTTTTTGTGTCTCCTGTACACCAAAACATACCCATCTGTGATGGAAAAAGAAAGTAATCCAAAAGTAATCTAAAAGTAATCTGATTACGTTACTTTTTTAAGACAGGTAACTGTAACTGTATTCGGATTACTTTCAGAGCCATGTAATCAGTAATCAGTAACTGATCACATTTACAAAGTAACCCTCCCAACCCTGGCCATAAGTCTGTTCCTCTTCTCATCAAGCACATGAGAGGCAGCGCTGAACAGTCTCTCGCTGTCAGTGCTTGTGCATGGAGCACTCAAATACTTGCGTGCCACCTTGGCCAGGTCAGGAAAGCGGTCTTGTTTGTTTCTCCAGTATCCAAGAGGGTTCTCGCTTCTGGGGATGGGTACTTCTGAGAGATAATCATCTAACTGTTGAGCGGTTGAGCTTGTCACCAGCCTGGCATTTGAGAGGTTTGAGAGAATAAGATTTTATTTAGAATAGGGACAGTGCATAATGAACATTTAGTCAAATGTATTTACGCATGCCAGATCACTTGGCAGACAAATAAAATCATCTGACATGTCAAAAACAATTACAAGATTAAGAGCATATTACATAGCAGCACATACAGTACTAATAAATATCACATTCAGTAGCACATAGTACAGTAAGTAACCAAGTCAGAACAGAGTAGCCTACCTATTTGGGGTAGTATTCTCTTCCATGATCTCGTTGAACATATCAGACAACGAGGGTGGTTGCCCCCTCTCCTCCTCCTCTGCTCAGACGAGCCCTTTTTTCTGTGGTCTGCGTCACGTCTCCTGTGCTGTGCGCAGCAGCCTCCTCTCGTGGGTTCTCCTTATCCAACACAGCCTGGATCATGTCTCGTGCGCTTTGCTTTTTCCCCGCATCAAAATAATGATCTTTATATCGCGGGTCAAATACAGTCGCGATACAGTACAGGGGATCAGAGTAGATATCAGCAAAACGTGTGTTGACAGACTCCAAGAGTGTACTTTTCATAGTTTTTACTCCACGGTCTGTTTCAACCTCTTTCCTTAGAAGACGCTTTAGAGCCGCATGTAAAGGGATGACGTCTGCCACCGATGCGTCAGATGAGCTAATCTCTCTAGTTAGCTGTTCAAATGGGGCAAGAATGGAGAGAATGTTCTCCATTAAGATCCACTGGTTTGGAGTGAATGATGCGAGGAGATCATGATCTGCGCTGTATGAAGCCAAGGTTCGCTTTTGAGCAAAGAGGCTTTCCAGCATATAATAAGTACTGTTCCACCATGTACTCACATCTTGTTGGAACCGTTTCGTTGTTACTCCAAGCTCATCTTGTATTGGCTCTATGCGAGAATAGGCCAGTTGAGAATGTTTGAAGTGACCAACAATCTTTCTGCTTACCGCCAACAGATCTTTTACGCTGCGTTGAGCCAACACTCCCTCGTTCACAGCTAATTGCAGCGTGTGGGCCATGCAGCGTATTCCACTCAGATTGCCTTCTTCCATAGCTTTAGTCATATTTCTTGCGTTATCACTGATTATTGCGTGCACTTTAGGTCGGTCGATATGCCATGTGTCGAATGCCAAGAAGATGGATTGTGCTGTATGAGACCCCCTAAACTCTTGTGAATGCAGCAGAATCTTTTGCAGTTTAAAATCCTTGTCGATCCATTGTGCAGTTAGACTGAGCATACTGGTGATGCTTACGTCTGAGCTCCATATGTCTGTCGTGAAGCTGATGGCTGTAATATCTGTAGCCAAGAGCTCATGGATGTGATTAGCAACGACATTGTACAGTTCAGGTAAGCACACGTCTGCTAAGTGCCGTCTGCTAGGCAAGGAATAACGTGGCTCAATAAGCCTACGAAATCCAACGTCCTGTACGACAGAAAACGGTTGATTATCCAATGGCGATGCATTCCATTAACTTCCGAGTAATGCCCTTTGCCTTGGGACCATCACTGGGAAACTTTTTTACCTTTTCAAAAAGGTCCGCCACAGAAGGAGTCGGGGTGCTGGGAAGGACTTTTTTTTTCTGTGCGCTAGTGATTTGATCATACTCCGCATATTTGTCCGGGTGTTTTGATTTCAAGTGGTGGAGTAATCCCGCAGTTACACCCCCTCGAGAAATGTCAGCTGAACACGTTTTACAAATCGCAATCCGCGCCTCTTTCGCTGATATTTTGAAATATCTCCAAGTGGCAGACATGTTGGCTGTGAGCCAGCCGCGAGCATGGTCGCGCGCCGTGCTTGTCGCCGCGTTTTGATTACGTCATCACAACAACACGTTAGGTTACCAACGTAACCCTGTTCTCTGACATTCGGTGATATTTTTTTGGCCGAAAGCCGAAAGGGCCTTTTTAACAATTTTGGGCCGATAATTTTCGGTGGCCGATGCATCCCTAATAAATTCATTTACCAGGGTACTGTAATAATTGCTTAAGTATAATTAGTGGTATTGTTTCCGTTGAAGAGTCATGACTATTTACCTAAATTAGACCATCTACGGTTAGAAATGTGCCTTAATTGCCAACATAATGTATATGTTGCTCTCGAGTGTACAAAAGCATCGTATGGACTTAAATAGAGTTTAACATGTTATCATGTACTTTCAGTCAATCAAAGCCAAACCAAACAAGTCAAACGAGTCACTGGACATCTGGAGGAAGATCAAGAAATCCTTTCACATCAGACATCAAAAAGCACTTTTGATCAGAGGGGCCACAAACGACCCAATGTTATCACTGTGCATGAAGTTCCTTAGATCGTGTGATACAGACAATAAAGCAAATAGCTAACATTATGCTCACAGTGCAATAATGTATGGACTAAGGCAGGGGTCTGCAACCTTTTTGACCAAAAGAGAGAGTGCGCTTAAGACCTTCCTTTTTGATAAAGCTTATAGTTAGGGCTGATTAGATTCAGCCCCTAGTTTTGCTGATATAGGCTTAGTTTGTCGGGGGACATCTTACTTCTTCCTTCTCTCTGTCTATACCTGTGTACTCTCATGTTCCGATTAACCCAGCTTCCCCAAATGTCTTTCTTTTTGGTGTCTATATACGCCGGGATCCGGAGTCATGGATGATCCTGCGGTCCTGTGTCCTGGATCGCGAGCCCTGGATCTTGAGTCGTGGCTGTGGTCCTGGATCATAGGTCCTGGATGGATATCCTCGTGGATTCATCTTCCTACATGCATTTCCAAACATTTGGACTACCTATGTTGCAAATGTATTATCTATTCAATTTACACACGGCATCTATTGCACGTCTGTCCGTCCTAGGAGAGGGATCCCTCCTCTGTTGCTCTCCCTGAGGTTTGTCCCATTTTTCCCTTTAAACTGTGGGTTTTCTCCGGAAGTTTTTCCTTGTACGATGTGAGGGTCTAAGGACAGAGGGTGTCGTATTGTCATACTGATATTCTGTACACACTGTGAAGACCACTGAGACAAATGTAACATTTGTGATATTGGGCTATATAACAAATTGATTGATTGATTGATGAAAAGAGCCATTTTGCCCATTTTTCCACCAATCTTTTTTGTCTGGAGCCGCAAAACACGTTTGATAGCTTATAAAGTTGTATGTATTGTTATATCATAGACAAAAACTACAGTTTTTTTGCATTTATTATTTATTACATTATATAAAACTGTTTACCTCTAATAATAAACAAAGAACTCTTACAAGGAGAATACAAAAAAATACACAGGCCTACTTCAAAATAAATCAACACAGCAGGTGGGGAGTCCTCTGCACATTTGAAGAAAATTAATATAATTAAAATGGGCCCACTTTGAAATAAATAAAACCTATAGCTGCACCCTAAAAATAGTTAACTGATTGAATTATGACTGAAGATCGTCAGCTGTCTTCCTCTTCCGTGTTTTTCCTCCCTTACGTAAAGGCTGCAGCACCTTTGACAACTTCTCTCCACATATCAAACATACCGGTAAGCCAGCATCGTTTGCTGTGAAAGCAGATAACTCTAACCGCGCAGAAATAAACCCTCTGTGTTCCTCAGATTCTTTTATTTTCTTTGATTTATCCATAGTTCGCTCATTGAGCCGGGGATCAGGTTATTCGCCTGCAAGAAAAGGCGCTGGTGCAGGATATGCAGGATATGATGCATATTTTAGTTGATCAATTAAAACCGTTTTTTAGTTAGACATTTAAAAAAAAATATATATATATATTTTATTTTCATAACACAATTTCCCGATTTTGGATCAACAAAGTACATCTTATTATCTTATACTAACAGAACTACGCCTATATTGCGTACAGCGCCCATAAACTATGGCGCACCCCCCCCCCCCCCCCAAATCAAGTTGAACCGCCCCAGCCCCAGTGAAGACCAGAGGTTTATGTGAAATAGTTCTTTTTTTTTTTAAATAAAGGTTTTAGTGTGCAATTATAGGTTTTAATTTTGTATTAAGTTAAAATAAATCAAACTCCCAAAAACAACCTGATCTCACCAGAATGCGTGACTCCACCACGACTCCTTAACACCACATTGCGTGGTGGAGTCACGAACTTTGTTACATTTACGTGTCGGCACCACGCAAACAACCCCAATGTAAAGTGAATGAGGCTCTTTTGTCGTGGTGCACACACGCATTTCTACAACGTCCTGCAGTGAGCTTGTATTCTATAAAACGTTTTTAAAATCTACTTTATAGCTTGTAGTAACTCGCGGGAGGCTTCTTTTATTTTATTTGTATTCATAATAATTTTTATTTTTCGTCAGAATGTATTATGGTGCATTAGTTACGAATTGTTGTTCTCAAAAAACAGTGCATTGTGTGTAATACAACTGTGATTTTTATTAAATTAGTTAGTTTTTAAGGAAGGCCAGAGCTTCAGCTGTGTCCAATAGATTGTTCCCTTTTAGTTAACGTTTTTTAAAAGAACATTATATTCCGATTTGATCATGTCCCCTTTATTGTATTACGGAGAGCAATGTGAGCGTCCATTCCCATTGGATAACGGAGGATTTTAGGTTTAAAAAAGGAGGTTTAAGTTGTGTACAATGCTTTTGTAATGTTCCCCTTCGATTCGGAGAAACAAATATTTGTTCAGTTTAGGATGGCCGAAGACACTACACTACCCAGAATCCTCAGCTATTGTTCCGCGTTGCCTCAAGCTCTGTGATTGGTTGACCTCCAACTGCATTCCATATAAAAAAAACGTTTCGTAAAAGATAAAATCATACTTTATTCAGCAGTGCTTGCTTTACTCTTTGAAAGTCATCACATGAATGCATTGTAAGAAATGGGTTGGCTGCATTAAATATTACACATCCGTAGTTCTTTATTTATCTACAGAGATCTGGCCTCAAAATAGACCGGAAACTATTCTTTTACCGTTCTGTTTTAATTTCACAATAAAGTTAGTAGTAATAATTTGTTTTGATATTATTGTTTTTTATTAACTACTAGACCGCTGGGTCATGTTAAGACCATCTTTTCTGTGTTGCTGTGGGGTTTTTCCATCGCTTTTGTGTTACAAATATCAAAACAATAACAGAATATATCCCTCGTAAACTAAACCAGAAACAGCAGTATATTTTATTTTGTTAACACTGTAAACTTGACAGCTTTTTAACCCGAACCACCTACTGGTTAAAGCACGTTATTACACGTTTAGAGTAATATTGAAATCTTGAAAAGGGATGTCCAAAATAGCAATTATATACAGTTTTTAATTAACTATTTGTAGAGAATAACGAGTAATGTATATACTTTATAGGGATCTGCAGATACATATTTAGTATGTAACAATCAACAACAATCATTACATTACATTCCATTGCATTTAGCTGACGCTTTTATCCAAAGCGACTTACAATAAGTGCGTTCGACCAACAAAATACAAGCTTGAAGAAAACAGAATCATATAAGTACATCAGGTTTCATAGAGCCAAAACATTTCAAGTGCTACTCAACTGGCTTTAGATAAGCCAGTCCTCCAATCAAATATCTCTCCTGATTGTTGGCACTTGACAATCACCTTCCCTGAATTTTACTCAGGTGTAAATAAAGTCTGCTTTAAGGGTTGTTTATATTTCACATCATTAATCAGAATCTGTAAAGTAACTAAAATAAATGTAGTGGAGTAAAAATACCAGGTTAACCTTAAAGAAAGCCCTCAGGATTAAGACCCCCATCACCCCAGCCACAAACTGTTCTGTCTGCTGCCATCTGGCACAACAGCCGCATTCTAGGAGAGGATGTGGCTGTTGTGGAGGACTACAAGCAGTGCTTGAATTGGAATGAAAAAGGTGCCAGTACTCTAAAATCAGCAACTTTTTCAAGTCAATTTTATATATACAGCCCACAAACAAGAATTTGGCTACTATAATGCTGGTGGGTTTGTCTCTTTACTACTGTATATTTTAGAAAGGTTCACTGTACTTAACATTTTTTATGATAGGCAGCGGATATGGCTAAAGCTCAGTAAGGTCAATATTAACTGAAAATATAGCAATCAAAGTCTAGATCTTCTGCTGAAGACACATGAAGCAGAGACCTTTCAGGTGAGAGCCCCTCTGGTGGTGTTCAACATTAATGACAAGGAAACAAAGCTCTGGTCAGAAGCATTTTTTATAAAAAGCTTTAACAAAATTAAGTATTTCTGTACATTTTGAATGCAATCTAACTTTCCAACTCAGAAAACGAAAAAGTGCCAAAAGTCTTCTCACATGGCTGAGCTGCTTTGCAATATACTTCACCACTGAAGAATACAAATATGTATAAAGTAAACTATGATGCAATCTAACTTTCCAACTCAGAAAAATGATAAAGAGCATGAACAAAGAACATGTAAAAACAAATGCAAAATTTGCACAATCTAAAATGAGAAACTGTAACTGCAAGTAACAAAGTCTGAGCCATGGTAAAGAGTTACATTGAACACCAAGCTGATCAGATAACTCCCTGGTTGGTCTGAAGTCCTTCTATCTCCAGGATCTGTACAAATCGGCACATTATGCCAAAAGTCTTCTCACTGGGTGAGCTGCTTTGCAATATACTTCACATTGTTAGAAAAGGCTCCAGAAGGCCTTGGGGACATCAGTATCAGGGGCTGGAGCTGGACAGACTCTTTCATCAGCACTTCTCCTTCCCTTTGCCAGCCAGGACCTCACATACTGTTCCGGATTGAACTGTCCTAGTGATGGTCCATTACATTTAATGAAAACCAGGCTGGACAGTCGGC